AGTAGCTAACGTGGTGTCAGCATTAAAAGTGTCAGCAGAGGATTTTAGGAGGTAGTCGACAATGCAGCGTCACCTCCGGGCGCTCCACTGTTTAGTTTTCCGGGTATGAGCAGTGTTAAACTGGGAGGACGGCCGGTGAGTCAGCGGTGAGCGAGACAACCTGGAGGCGAGCGTGACTGATGACCACGAGGCGATGGGGTGCGGCTGTTGAACCTTGTGTTGGGGGAAGAGAATTGGGTCGGCGGCGCAAAGCGGTTGTCACCCTGTCGGCGGTATGGGGCATCCGAGGTGGCGAGGACCAGCGGACATCGCAGTAACGAACTACATGGCCGATACAATGGCATTGGAAACAAATCGGCCGGTAGTCGACAGTCCTCCAAGCTTCAGGGTTGCGAAAGCGGGCAGGAAAGCGCTGCTCGGGATAGGACGAGGCTGGACGCTATGAGGTTGGCTATGGAAGTGTGACAGCGCATGCCGAGTGGATGCTAATGCTGGCGAGTTCCTGACGAATGATAGCCTGAAACATGGGAGCAGTAACATGTGTCGTATCAGCTGTACAGGTGTAAGCTGGAGCAGGAGCCATACCTGACCAGGTGACTGGTCTAGTTTTGCCAGACCAGTCACCTGGTCAGGCGAAACGGGAGCCGCTGATTGCGTTCTCGCGCGATCTTCGCACAACGACGTTGTAGCCGTGTAGGGAAGACGGGCAAACGCGCCGTCGATGCACCGGCTCTTAGCTTGCTCAAAGCACCTGCACTCCTTAATAATACCGTCTACGGTTGAGTGGTTCTTACATATTGGAAGATTTAAGGCGTTGTCGGCAATCCTTTTAAAATTATGGCCATTTTTGTCGGCCTCCGGCTTCTCGGCATTGTCTTTCCGGCACAAATAAATCGCATCTTTGATGTACGCAACGTACGACTCTATCGAGGTCTGTAGCCGAGACGCGAGCATTTTGTTCGCAGCCATCTTTCTTTCCATGGGCTTCCCGAACAAGTCCAACATTTTTTTTTCTTTGCATGTTTCCCAGCTCCCAAGTTCTGCTGCATGGTTTTCATGCGACACTTTAGCGATTCCTTAAAGGTAGAGCAACAGATTCGCCAGTACAAGAGTCGGACCCCATCAATATCGAGTACTCACACGTTCGTACTCTGCCAGCCAATCATCAACGTCCACTTCATCTGGATCGCCGGAACCGCTACGTGCCAGGATACCGGGGGGGTTCAAGCACGAATGTTATAGTCGCCGGAGCAGATGTAGTCGCCGCACCATCTCCACACGCAGGAACACCAGGGGCAGATGCAGACGCCGCATTTTCTGTCGTAGTTGCAGAGTTACCCCTCAAATGATGGCCGCTGCGAAGTTCCCTGGTGAGGCGGTTACCCAGCACGTCCACCAAGTGTGACGGAGGTGAGAGCGAGGTTTATTCAAAAAGCTGATCGTCGGCCAGACGATATGGCCGATGAGTATCACGCGCCAGCTCTACGTTTACTCGTCATCTTCATTTTTGGTGACCATGCACCACCCTGGTTCATGTATATGTCGAACCGTAACAGTACCATGCGGCTGATACAATCTTTTTTAATCAGCCACATTACATATATAGCAACCTTCCATAATTGGTTTGTAGCTTAAAAGACCAAAATTAACAACCTGATAAAAAAGGTGTACAAACTTGCGCAAGGGATTCCCATCAGTACGCCCACAGACCTTTTTTCTAAAGCTAGGACTCCACAACACACTGGGGGAACTCACGGAAGCACAGCACATGTCTCATGTGGAACGACTAACAAAAACCTCTATTGGACAGAATATACTACACAAGCTAGGAATGAATAAGAACAATCAAAATGGAGAAAAGAGGACGATCACGAGAGAAATTCGTGAGAAACTTCTGGTACCTAATATACCCAAGAACATGCATCCATGTTACAAGAAGGGTAGACGAACGATTAGAGCAGAAAAAATGATCTAGAGCTACGCATCAGATGACAGAGCCGCCTTCGTAGATGCGGAAGAATACCCAAACAGAAATCGCTACGTGTCGGTAGTCGTAGATCACAAGCAAAAGCTTGTTACCAGTGTGTCAGTTAACACCAAATTTTCCGAGACAGCAGAGGAAGTAGCCATTGCACTAGCACTGGTCTTCACGAATGTTCAATACATTATTTGTGATTCACAGGCGGCCATTCGACATTACGCTAAAGGCCGGGTCTCCCCGAAGGCGTGGCACATCATGAGTGTATACGAAGCAATATTTTCCACTTTAGAAAAGAATGACCGACAACTGCTCTGGTTTCCAGAGCATACAGCTTGAGACATTCCCGCAGCCAACCCCAATGAAGTAGCACACTGCGAGGCTCGAGGCCTTACTCGGCGAGCTGAGCAAAAAGTGACTTCTACGGGTCAGGGGAACGTAGAGGAGGAGATATGGAGAGAAAAAGATGGATTAACCACATTCAGTGATATAACTAAATACTACCAAGTGCAGAGGCGAATTTACCCACCACTTCACTTCAAACTCAACAGAGCAGAGTCTGTTGCTTGAAGGCGGTTATAGACAGAAAGCTACCCCAATCCCGTGCAATTAAATACTTTCTACCCTGCCATATACGAGAGCGACACATGCAAGCTATGCAAGTCTTGTAGAGCCACCCTTCAACACATGTTGTGGGGATGTCGAGTATACCAAGATCAAATGGCGGTCTCCTCGGAAGATCTGCGGGCACGGTGGTCGGTCACGCTGCAAAGCTCAGAACTCACGGACCAACTTTGGACCGTCCAGCGAGCCCTGGAAACAGCGCGGGAGCAACAGCTCCAAGCGGTTATCTAGGCGGCCCCAGGCCCGCGCCTTCCATTCGCCGGATATTCAATAAAGTCATTTCATCACCATCATGTTTTAACTTGAGTGCGTGCGAATAATTGTTTCTTATTGTTTGGTAGTTTTGTGGAAGTTGTATACTGTGATGAAGCCAGCCAAGTGTGCATGTCGATATATGACGCTTGTACTGCCTTGAGAATAAATTTTGTTCGGGTTACTAACTCTTGCTTCAGTCGCGGCCATTGGGCCACAACCGGCGTATGCTGGTGCTCTAAAAGGACCTACCCTTAAAATTCCGTGCAAGGGCTTCCCGTCACTACCTGAGTCGTCATCATCGACGAAATGTTCAACAGAACAGGGATTTATTCTCTTTGCTCCGCCTCACCCGGAGTAAACTGCCGGACTCACTTTAAAATAAAGTCTATTCAATAGTTTTGTGGTGCCTTCGCAAAGGACGGGGGATACGTCTGCCCTTGGAATCTGCCCGGCGAGCGCAGTCAACAAAGGTGCGCCTTCCGCAATGGGACCACGGCCCGTTTCTTGCGCAGACTCGGCCATAGTTGCGGCCCGGACACCCTTAGCTACGCCATTGCTTCGAATGCCCTTCCTCAGCGTCCGAGATCAATATGCATGGAACGTGCGCATCTGATAGCAGAGGAGTTCGCTAGCGTGAGCGTCCGTTCTTTTTAGTCCACAGAAAGGAAACCGGTCAAAAAAAATATATAAAGAAGGTGAAGACGGCTGCTGAAGCCCTTAGAATGCTTTTTCATTTCTCTATTTTTTTAAAACTCAACTGTGTTTGTAGTCATTCTATGTGAACGGGACGAAATTGCATAATTGTTTTAGAAAAATACAGTCTTCTTGATAAGACAGATGCTTGGGCTAGTTGGTGATTGGGAATCAACATACTTGCACAGCGCAAGACTACGAGTTGTTACGACGTAACTACAGAAGAAGAGACAAGGACAGAAAGAACGCTGACTTCAACTGAAATTTTATTAGCGAAAACCCCGGAAATATATATGTTGTGACAGAACATGACCACGCAATCGCGCAACCTATTTTATCACAGCAAGATAATCATCATCTCATTATAAAGTTACAACGCCACAGCTCAGCACAAGTTCACAATATATCGTGTCAAAGCCGGGAACTCGATTTCTTTTTTAGTCAGAGCAAGCGAAGGCATGCTGATACATCGATCACCCAGCGTTTGCATTTCATTGGCCTCCATAATCTCTCTTGTTAGCTGGTTACGGTGTTTGGCTACAACAGTGCACTTTTTGAATTCCGGTCTGCAACCACAATCCTTACAGTGGATGCCCAAATGACCTTGCACAGCTGAGTATACATTGTAATGAAGCTCCTTTAAACGCTCATTCAGGCGCGCGACGGGTGAATGCGCAGTCTGCACAAAGGAGCTGCTGCACAATAAAATATAGAAGGCTATTCGTAGCACGTGTGATAGCCGTGGTTTATTTTCTCCCGTTGTCATGCGGCAATATATATGTTGGGCAAACGGGCCTGTGCCTGAATGAGCATTCAAAGGAGCTTCATTACATTGTATACTCAGCTGTGCAAGGCCATTTGGGCATCCGCTGTAAGGATTGTGGTTGCAGACCGGAATTCGAAAAGTGCACTGTTGTAGCCAAACACCGTAACCAGCTAACAAGAGAGATTATGAAGGCCAATGAAATGCAAATGCTGGGTGATCGATGTGTCAGCATGCCTTCGCTTGCTCTGACTGAAAAAGAAATAGAGTTCCCGGCTTTGACACGATATATTGTGAACTTGTGCTGAGCTGTGGCGTTGTAACCTTATAATGAGATGATGATTCTCTTGCTGTGATGCAATAGGTTGCGCGATTGCGCGGTGATGTTCTGTCATGAGTATATATTTCCAGCGTTCTCGCTAATAAAATTTCAGTTGAAGTCAGCGCTCTTTCTGTCCTTGTCTCTTTTTCTCTAGTTACGTCGTAACAACTAGTAGTGTTGCACTGTGCAAATATGTTGGTTTTCACAACAACTTTTAGGTGAACAGCATTTGAAACATCTTTGCCACCACAAGGTTCATGAATTATTCCCTTATTAGACCTTCAGCGATGCATCCTGAACATGCTGAGTAACATGTTGATTGTTTTAACGCGTGTGAAACAACGTGCAATATTTGGATCATTCAGGATCGATGCCAGCTACACGTCGCTGCTGTGGTCACTGTTCGGGGTGATTCCCATCAAGGACATCAGCGCGCGCAAGGACCAGCCCTTCACCAAGTGGGTGGGCCATGCCCTGCTGGGCGCCTACATGATCATGGCCATGACTGTCATGATCAACATGCTCATCGCCATGATGAGCCGATCATTCCAGGACATCGAGGTACGCACAACTGCTCGTCGATGTGCATGCATGCAGCGCGACAGAAGAACGACACAGGACAGACGATCAACTGTCGGGGTTTTTTTACGCAGACAGGAATACCTAGAAGTAGTCCGACTGTGCACGCGCCATCGCTTTACAGACATTGAGGTAAAACGCCAGGTGTGCGCAAGAGTCCTTTGCGTCGTAGCTTATCACGCGTTACTGAATCGTCCGCGCCAGTGCTTATCGGCAACGCCCACGGACAGAGACGGTCCGCTCAGCCGTCGCGCGAGGGCTCGAATGGCCCGAGCTTCAACCGGGCATACCACAGCCAGTATTGGCGCTGGAGTTTGTACCCTCTCGCAAGGCTGTGGCCTCTATATGCCAAGGACACACCTAGCATCAGCCATGTTCAAGTAATCGCCGAAAACGAGCTTACTGCCTCAAAAATTGACCACCGCAAAGCATTTAGAATCCGTCGAGAACGAGCCCAAGGATCTGTCACACGCTTTTAGCGCCTTCTTTTGTAGCGAGAGCTACAATGACCGTGTTCTCGCCGTTCCGCTATGACCGGTGGCCGCACCGGGAGCTGAGCTATAGCTGAGCCATCGCCTAACAACCGCCGAAGCTAGCAGCACTAGGGTGCTTCGATGCGCGTGCCCCCGATAACAGTGTGGCCGTTCTTTGAAAGGGTCGACACCAAGTCGCCTCGCGCGTCCGCCATGTTTTGTCCCACACCGCGCTTCGTTTAGATATGCGCGTGACGCCTATAATCTTTTCGCTCGTCTGATTTGTCGCGAATCCCGGAAGATCACGGGATGCTGTCTGTCACAGTGCACGAACCATTATATGAATGAATGGAAGATGTTTTCTTCCCCAACCGATCCCAAAGAAGAGTTTTATTGACAGTGAGAATAAAGAGTGACAAGTGGCAGTCTACGAATGCCTCTTGTAAATGCAGCGTGCATATTACAAGCTTTGTTGCTGCCGTATCCATCTATCCTATCTTCTCCTTACTTCCGTATGTGGCTATTCCTGCGCCACGCTCTTTCCTTCCTTCTCTCTCTATCTCTATACCTTTTAAATCTATCGTTTTAATTCCTCTTTGCCCCCATCCCTCGCCGTGGACTACTGTTGAGGTGTCGCACTGTGATGCAGACAGTTGCGGGGCTCACTTTTATCTTTTTCACTTAAGAATCACATATATCTGTGTTTCCTAACACCTTTCCTTTTCTACGTCGGGTACTTGGGGGACAATTTTCGAAACGACGTGTATATTACTAGTAACACAGTCACATATTAAACTATTACAAGTTGTGTGCGTGCTTCTGACTTCTTGTTGATGCCCACCCTTGTTGCACCTTAACGCGGTCTAACGTTGACCGAACTTGTAACTTGAAATGGTTGCGTGGCTTTTTAACCGTTCTAATAAATTTGGTGTTCTTTTCGGGGTGTGCTTGGAAAAAGTATTTTCGCTGTCGCGGGCATCTCCTTTCGTTTTATTTTATGCACAAAGGTGTGGTTATGAAATTGTCGCGTCTATATTTACAACAACAATTCACTCCCGATTTGTGTTTTCTTGAAGACTAACGACAACTAATAGAAAATTTGGTGTTCCAGCTCACATTCCCTATGATAGCACGTTTTCACTGCATGTATAGGTGCGAGATAACTCCCATGCCACTTAACGGTTACGTGCCGCATACATCCACTCGGTATATATATACACTGACTCGATAACATACAAGCCCCGCCATGGTGGTCTAGTGGCTAAGGTACTCGGCTGCTGACCCACAGGTCGCGGGATCGAATCCCGGCTGCGTCAGCTGCATTTTCGATGGAGGCGAAAATGCTGTAGGCCCGTGTGCTTAGACTTGTATGCATGTTAAAGAACTCCGGGAGGTAAGAATTTCTGGAGCCTTCGAATATGGCGTCTCTCATAATCATGCGGTAATTTTAGGATGTTAAACCCCACATATCAATCAATCAATCAATCAATCAATTAATCAATCAATAATACACTGTAGTGAATTCTTTGTATATGACATCGATCAGAGAAGGCACAGTTCGGTAAGAGTACACTGGATTTATTTACACCATTTACAGGCTCTATAAAAATGCACTTCTGCTCATCAGAAGGAAAACATCTTTCTTTTCGACTGTCCCTCGCCGCCGCTTGTACTCCCGAAGCACCCCTTTTTGCCTTTCTTTCCCCGAACGGGCTCACTGAAGCGGCGTGACAAGGAAGGCTTTGTCGCCGAGTCTGCGTCTACAAAACGAGAATAGGCGCCGTTCGCAACACTGCCCCGCCGATTGAGCTTGCTCATTCTAAAGTTCCTATCCTAATGGGGGAACAATCGCGACACGGGCGCCTCACAAGCCTGCGCTCTGGCATACTGACCAGACACGAGCGGACCTCCTCATTGCTTCCGAAAAAGACTGAAACGATTAAACCGTGTTTCCACAGCAGGCACGGCATGTTTTCTTGCATTAACTCAATGCCCCCTGCTACCAGGCCTGGCAAAACGCTCGGAGTATCCGGTTTCACCTCTTCTGAAGCGTACGAAAGGAAGACGCATTTTCCACGTTGTGGTTTATGGAGTCAATGAGACACTGTCGCTCAGGTCATCCTGCACCTGCGTTAGGGGTGGAGATTTGACAACAGCCTCTACTTCCCGCAGTACTGTCGAAAGCCCAACAGAGTAAATGCATTGGCGGGTTACAACCTCCCTCAAAGCTGTTTTACGCTGAGAATAAATCGTTCATAGAACCCTTCCACCCCCTCATCGTGCATGTACGATGAATTTACACTATCTTGGTACTAGCGAAAATGCTCACAGTTCCAGGGGGCCGGAGAGCCTTCCAAAAAGTGCGAGCTTCCTTAAAGCGCGCCCAAACATCTGGGCGTTGTCCGAATAAAAAAAACAGCACAACCCTGATACAAAGCGGCGAAATGCCCAAAGAAAACTGGCGGCACTCATGTCAGTCACCAGTTCAAAATGCACGGCCCTCGTAGCACAGGTAAAAAGCAAACTGTACAATTTCACTTCACTATGATCTTTTTTCGCGAGCCGATGTCCGTCAAAGTCAACGCCAACCACCTCGAAGGAGTCAGTCTGCGTGGTCAGATCGGGTGAGAGAAGTCCCGTCGATTGCTGCACGCCTGTAGCAATGTATCGCCTACACGTCACACACGCATGCACAACAATTTTCACGATCTGACGTCCACTTTCCAAGTTTTCATTCAGTGATCTTGCGTCGACACTGTGTGATGGGGCATGATCCCCAAGTTCGTGCTGATGGGTTGTTGAAGAACTGGCTGAAGGGGCATTATTGATGGGATGACCATCGCTTGCTACCTCATCTGTAGCTGGCTCTTCTATTCCCTCGGTCAACCCCGCAGGGGCGCCTGCGCAAGTAGGCGTTTGGTGTGTAGCGACACCACGGACCCGAGCTAACGGGGGAGTTTCTACTCCCTCCCACGCCTAGCCGTGCGTGGCTTTGCCGTGTCCGGGGAAAAGGGGATCCTGGGGGTTGAGCCGACGCTGGGTGATTGGACCTTGAAGGCCCCCCGGCAGAGGCAACACACCCCTTTGGCCCCGGCTTCACGTAGACGGCACCCCTGGGCTGACCCACCCAGGGGAAATCGGCAGTCGCCTTTTCCTATCTCTCTCTCCCTACATCTTCGTCTTTTGTTCTCACTTTACATCTTTCCTGTCTTCTCCTCACTTCATTTTACTTCCAATTTTTCCTGGCGGCAAGGGTTAACCTAGTGTAAATATCCAACCTTGGGTAGATATATTAGGTTATAGCGGCCATGTACAGCTGGCGCCTGCGCCTCCTTCGCGTCTCGCGGCGTCCCCTTGTTGGGCTCGGTGGTGGGTGGCTGGCATGGCCGCCGAATAAGCTATCAAATTTATGGGAACCCCTAGCCCTCTTACAACTAATCGCCCCTCCAAGAGGTGGCGCACCGATGCAATTTTTGAGTTTGTTCCAAACAAAAAAGACAACTTCCCCAAATACCACATAATTCACTGTGAAAGTACAGAAAAGAAAGCTAGAACTATTTCACCTTTCCTTGTGTCCAAATGTCTCATAGAAACGCTGGGTGCAGGCTACAAGGCCACAAAGACTGCCAGTGGTGACCTGTTACTTGAATTAAAAGACAACGCACAGTACCAGAGACTACATAAACTCACAGCATTTGGGGATCAACCTATCACAATCACATCGCATCGAACCTTGAACACAGTGAAGGGTGTTGTATCAGATGGAGACCTGATGGACCTCTCTGATGATGAACTTCTAACAGGCTGGAAAGAGGAAAACGTCATTCAGGTGCAGCGTATCAAAATAAGAAGAGAAAATAAGGAAATCCCAACGAAGCACATCATACTAACTTTCGCATCTAGCACCCTCCCAACTGAAATAGCAACAGGATATCTTAAACTGCCAGTTAGACCATACATACCCAACCCGAGGCGCTGCTTTAAGTGTCAGAGGTTCGGGCACGGCTCCCAGAGCTGCCGAGGACAGATTACCTGCGCGAAATGCGGCACCAAAGGTCATACTGCTGACGATGACTGTCAGCTACAAGTGCACTGCGCAAACTGTGAGGGTGACCATCCTGCATATTCCAGGTCATGCGTGGCCTGGAAAATGGAAAAAGAAATTATTAGTACAAAGTTTAAATTGAACATAAGCTTCCGTGAAGCGCGGCAGCGCGTTTCCCCGCATTTTGCTGGGAACACATCGTATGCCGAAGTGGTGCGAGGGGGGTCAGCACCACTTCGGTTTTCGGCAATGCCTTGGACCACGCCCAGCGTGCCGAGGCAAACGCCACAAGCCCCCATGGGGGGAGCAGCCTCGGCTGCCCCACCCTCCTTGAATACAGCCCCACCGAAGGCTCCTGTGAACCTTGGCAGCAGCCAGGGCACCACACAAACTAAAGAGGTCCCCTCGACCTCCAGCCCGGTGGGGTTTAAGGCTCCGTCTGTCACGACGAAGCCTACAACAAA